GTACTAAGGTAGAGAACCATCTGTGGTACAAAACAATAAGTAAGTCTTGTTTAGTATGTTGAGTACCAAGTCTTGTTTAGTATGTTGAGTACCAAGTCTTGTTTAGTATGTTGACTACCAAGTCTTGTTTAGTATGTTGACTACCAAGTCTTGTTTAGTATGTTGACTACCAAGTCTTGTTTAGTATGTTGACTACCAAGTATTGTTTAGTATGTTGAGTACCAAGTCTTGTTTAGTATGTTGACTACCAAGTCTTGTTTAGTTTGTTGTATAAGTTGCCTGAAGATTTTTTCATATATAAAGTTTTATAGAGTCTCTTTTGTACTTTTATAGCATTGAAAATAATATATTTTGTTACATAATAAATATTTCTGTTATTTTTATTAATTGTTTTCTAAAGTAAAAATCAATATTTAAAAGTAAGTAGTTCATTGGCTTAACCTTTTATGGTGGTATTAAAGTTGATTGAACAGTTTCATGTTAGCAGCTCGCTAAGAAACACTTCAGCTTTATCAAATAACCAAATTATTAATAAATTACCTTATAAGCTGTTGTTTTACTATTTAAAGTATCTGTTTACAGACAAGAGGCAATTTCTCAAGTGGAAGTGGAAGAAACAAGTGAACAGGAAGATGAAAAAGAGGAGTTAAAAGAAAATGAAACTCGAGAAGAAAAGGAGAAAGAAATTAAAGAAAAACAGGCTGATAAAATCAGTGAGAAGGTAACTGAGATTTTGCCAAAGCCAACTGTAGAGTCATCTTCATCATCATCATCTTCAGAATCAGAATTATCAGATGAAGAAGAAATATTTGACACATCTAGTACTACTGATGTCACTGATAAAGAAGTGCCAAAACATAGTTTTAGAGCATTGCCTAAACCAGAAGCTGAGAATAATAAGAAAGTTTTGCAAGTAGAAAACAAAAGTTTGGAAATATCAGAGAAAGATATTTCATCCTCTCCCGAAAGAGTTCCTTCTCCATACAAGGCCAGCACTCGAGAGGTTGAAGCTTCGGAAGCTCTTGTAGCCTTAGCAACAGGGTTCACCGAATTCTCTTCTCCAGAAAGATCCACTAGTGATTCTGTTTCAGGGTTGTCCTCCGAGAAGAAGTTAGAACCTATTTCAAGAACCTCTCAGAATGATTCCTCCTTGGTAGAAGAATTAGAACCTGCTGTTGTGTTAAATGGAGTTGTACATCATAAGGAAATAGCTAAGGATAAAGATGTTTTGAGTTCAGAAAAGGCCAAGGATTTCTCATCTGAAGCAGACATCAAACTAGTCAAAGATGAGTCTCCCGAGGAGGACGGAATCTCCACCCACCTCATATATGAACACAGTTACTGTATGCCCCAGTTGGATTTGCAAGCTTCAAGGACCACCTCCACACTTGAATCTGTCATTGACTCAGTTGCTCGGGGCTTCACTGCACCTCATCCCATTCAAGATCACGAGTACACCCGGGTGCGGACTCCATCCCCACCACCGGTGTCCAAGGTTAGATCTAAACAGAAGCAGAAGGAAAAGTCTCTGAAACCTAAACAGTTGAAGATGCTACCACCAGATATTGTAGACTCTACAGAAGATGAATTGAAGAGTTTCCTCAGCAAGAGGGACCTGGTGGAGGAAATGAACATCCTCTACGAGTTCTTGAAAACGGGCATTGATGCCGAAGATGTGCAATACTTGAAGCGAAGTTACGATGCATTACTTCAGGATGACATACAGGGATACTGGCTTAGTGACACTCACTGGGTGGATCATCCTCATATCCTTGTTCTTTTATCGTACAGATGTTAAGAATTAGCCTAGTTTTTAAAAAAAAAAGACAAATTCTGGTTGCCTTGGGGACTAAAAGAAAATGGCATAATGTTTGGGAATTTTTAGTGAATTTTTTTTCATTTGAAAAAGTGTAATTTTTCATATGTACACTAATATATGTGATATATTTAAATATCATAGAAAAGTTTAGTATAGAATTTGAACTTTTAATTGATATTGAGACACGGTAAGGAAGTCCAGACTGATATAATTGTGTAAAAACTTCAGCTGAGACCCGTTAGTATGTTTGGTGGTGAAAGTTTCCGTTGGCTTTACATAATTTTACTTTGCATGGAAAAATTTTCAAGCTTGGTTCGCCTTCAAATGGTTGTCGAGGAATTTAAAACATTAACTTCTACAAAATAGCAGTGTGTTTGTATTTTGTTTATATCAAAAATGTATTGCTTGCAAAAAATTTTAAGATTGAGTCACAAAGTCCTTAGAACAAAGTGGGGATAACCCTCTGAAATTTCTTCGAACAAAGCAAGGATATCCCTCTGAAATTTATTGGAACAAAGCAGGATAACCCTCTCAGATTTCTTGGAATAAAGTGGGGATAACCCTCTCAAATTTATAGGAACAAAATGGTAAAAACCCTCAAATTCCTGGGAACAAAGTGTGGATATGGAATTTGAGGGGGTTTTCCCTGCTTTGTTCCAAGAAATTTCAGAGGGTTGGAACAAAGCAGGGAAAACCCCCTCAAATTCCTTGGAACAAAGCAGGGATAACCTCAGATTTCTAGGAACAAAATGGGAAAACCCCCTCAAATTCCTTGGAACAAAGTGGGGATAACTCTGAAATTTCTTGGAACCAAGCAGGGATAACCTTCTCAGATTTTGTGGAATAAATTGGAGATAACTCCCTCAAATTTCTTGGAACAAAGTGGGGATAACCCCCTCTTGCCCCTCACAGGGTTAAGCTCTTTCTTGTCTCCGAGAATTTATTGCTGGCTCCTAAATGACAGAGATAGTTGTAAACTTCTAGTTATTGTTATCTCATTATTCAGATCAAAGTAACAGCATTGACCATTTCTAATTTACCCCATTTTTCAAACTTTATCGTTATGATTGATCATATATCTAGTTATTTTCTTTTTGGGTAGTGCCTTATAAATATCACTTAGCCCATGTAATTTTAAGAATTCCTACTTCAGTATTTATCTGATAGTTTCAGAAGTTTATAACAATACGATGGAAATTCTGTACATAATATTTTAATCCACCGTTACTTTATCGTGATAAAAGTTTTATTTCAGTGTTTGAATATTGAAACAGTAAAGCCATAACTAGGTAGTGCGTTAAGGGTTTTCCTTAGCTTTTCTCACCAACTAATATTCCTTCCCCCCCGAAAAAGAAACGTGAAGAGGGAACAAGGGTACATGCAACAGGATGTGCCCGTACAGAGGGTTACTACAAGATGGACCAGAAAGAAAAGGCTGTACAAAAGAGATGTCTTGATCTTATGAATCCTGCAATAGACATGGAAACTCAGGTTTTTATATTTTTTCGATATTTACATCTTTTGTATTCAGGCCAAGGGATGTTATAGTTCGTTATAAGTACACTGTAGATCTTATAATATTGTGTGGTTCATTATAAATAGGAGAATGGATCTTGTAGTTCATTAAAAGCGTGATAAAGTAAGTATATATTTATGTAGACATATTTAAGTCTTGTAATAATTAATCGCAACGCTAAATTGTGGTAGCAAGAATAAAAAGTGGATCTTGTTTTTGTAAGTATTAATATTGTGTCTTGCGTCATAGATGCCCAATTCGCATACAAATGATAAATTACTTTTGGATTCATGACTTTGCTAATTACAGGGTTCCTAGTAACATTTGTAGCCATCACAGTTTTTGTACTATAACTTTTAATATTGTACGTGTATCTTCACAAAAAATTTGGCAAGCTTTCAAATATTGTGTGTCTTTTGTACACAAATAATCAGATTTTTTAATTCAATATTTTTACTAACGATTTGTCCGTGAATATCTGGAGTCAGTGTGTTGACTGCTCCGAGTACAAAATGATTTTCATGTTAAAATGAAAAATACAATTTTATTTGCATGACCTCTAAAACCTTCTAAATAAAAAATCGATCATTTATTTTCATTTAAACTGTACATTTTATCTGTTATTTACAATACTCAGTTGATTCAACCAACCTTGTAAAACATCATAAAAAATGCTTAAATAAATATAAGAGATTTTTTTTCTTTTTAGCGTGATTGTAAACTGTAACAGGGAAACTACATCTGTTTATCCTAGATAGCTGTGATTGTAAACTGTAACGGGAAACTACATTTGTTTATCCTAGATAGCTGTGATTGTAAACTGTAACGGGAAACTACATTTGTTTATCCTAGATAGCTGTGATTGTAAACTGTAACGGGAAACTACATCTGTTTATCCTAGATAGCTGTGATTGTAAACTGTAACGGGAAACTACATTTGTTTATCCTAGATAGCTTAAGGCTCGTAACATTATACATCTGTTTACATTGATTTATTAACCTTTGGGCTGTGTATAACTAATAATCCTGTCATGAAGGCTGAAGTTACTGTATTGAATGATGTAGCATATAAACTACTCGCAAGCATACCATGTAGAGAATTGTTATACATTATCTTACCTTTGATCTCTCGTGTTTTTTTTTGCTGTCGGTCGACAGTGAAATTTTAGCTCTATTTTTTTTATAATAATGGTACTCAAACAGTAAATAAATTTTATTTATATAAATAATGCACCTAAGTTTTGCACCATACATCGAAAAAAATGAAACATTAATGCTATCTTTGACTTTTTTCTTTGTAACTTGTTTAACTCTAGTAGTAAATAAAATGCTGTTATAACAGGACCCCTTCAGCAAAGCTCGGGTGGCAGCTCAATCCACTAGGGAGGCAAGATCGAATCAGAGACGACTTCTGACTTCACTTGGTGAAGTTGACGTCACTAAGAGTGATCTCCTGAAGTTCAACCAGCTCAAGGTGTGTATTATAGAAGTTTATCCAGCTCATAGTGTGTATTATAGAAGTTTATCCAGCTCAAGGTGTGTATTATAGAAGTTTATCCAGCTCAACGTGTGTATTATAGAAGTTTATCTAGCTCAAGGTGTGTATTTTAGAAGTTTATCCAGCTCAAGGTGTGTATTATAGAAGTTTATCCAGCTCAAGGTGTGTATTTTAGAAGTTTATACAGCTCAAGGTGTGTATTATAGAAGTTTAACCAGCTCAACGTGTGTATTATAGAAGTTTATCCAGCTCAACGTGTGTATTTTAGAAGTTTATCCAGCTCAAGGTGTGTATTATAGAAGTTTATCCAGCTCAAGGTGTGTATTATAGAAGTTTATCCAGCTCAAGGTGTGTATTATAGAAGTTTATCCAGCTCAAGGTGTGTATTTTAGAAGTTTATCTAGCTCAAGGTGTGTATTTCAACCAGTTGATGAGGAAATCCTTCTTGTTCATAACTACAAGGATTAGGATCCCCCAACATATTTTTACGTTTCACAAGTTTTTATTTTTATTAATGAAGAATTAGGTCTATTTTCCACTAGTATTTAAATCTTATCTATTTTAGAACTGCTCTTAAAACTACATAAAATACAAATTATTTAATTATAAAATGTTGAAGCTATATTGAACAAAATGCACAACAAAGTTATGGTCTTAGAATTTATTAAATGATGGGTCCTCTCTTACTTTCTACAGGTTACCAATGTAATTATTACACGGTTAAATGTGATTGATACAATTTTGGAAAGCTTCATGTAGTAAATAAAAAGTCCTTCTTAAACCTCAAGATTGATAAACTCTCAACTAATCTAAACTTGCTTTAGTGAGACTATAAAAAAATGTGTTTGTATTTCGTAAAGTTGACTGTTTTTGTTAAGATTAATGTTCTATTTCAAGAGTAATGTAGGTGGGCTGTGAAATAAATTATGACTGAATATACTGAAAGAGAAACTTAAGTTCTGCTATACTTAACATGGACGTTATACGTCCTTCGTAACGCGCGCTACGCTGACTGTATCTTTGAAACTTATCCACAGTTCCGTAAGAAGCAGTTGAAGTTTGCCAGAAGTAGGATCCACGATTGGGGATTGTTTGCTTTAGAACCTATTGCAGCAGACGAAATGGTGATAGAATACGTCGGCCAAATGGTCCGTAAAGAGGTGGCAGAGATTCGAGAAAAGAAGTACACTGAACTTGGCATTGGTAGCTCCTACCTGTTCAGGGTAGACCAGGAGATCATTGATGCTACCAAGTGTGGAAACCTAGCTAGGTTTATTAACCACAGTTGTACAACTGTTATTAATAAACCAATTCACACAACTTACATTAATGTAAGTTGTGTGAATTGGTTTATTAATAACAGTTGTAATGTAAGTTGTGTGAATTGGTTTGTTAATAACAGTTGTGATGTAGGTTTTATTGATTAGGTTTGTTAACAACAGTTGTGATGTAGGTTTTATTGATTAGGTTTGTTAACAACAGTTGTGATGTAGGTTTTATTGATTAGGTTTATTAACAACAGTTGTGATGTAGGTTTTATTGATTAGGTTTGTTAACAACAGTTGTGATGTAGGTTTTATTGATTAGGTTTATTAACAACAGTTGTGATGTGGTTTTATTGATTAGGTTTGTTAACAACAGTTGTGATGTAGGTTTTATTGATTAGGTTTATTAACAACAGTTGTGATTTAGGTTTTATTGATTAGGTTTGTTAATAACAGTTGTGATGTAGGGTTTATTGATTAGGTTTGTTAACAGTAGTTATGATGTAGGTTTTATTGATTAGGTATGTTAACAACAGTTATGATGTAGGTTTTATTGATTAGGTTTG